GGAAGGAAGGAAGGAAGGAAGGCAGGAAGGAAGGAAGGAAAGAAGGAAGGAAGGAAAGAAAGAAAGGGCACTTAACGTATACAAACTCCTGCTATATTATTTATTTTTGTTTATACCTGACTCTTCATTTTTACATTTTCATTAAAAAAAAAAATTCACATTAAAGTTTCTAAGAGTTCAGCTTAGATAACACTGAATAGTTTTGGAAATTAGGTTTTATGACAGACTTGATAATTGCTTTTTAAAGAAGTCAACCTAAAATTACAAGGCATAACAGTACTTACACGTAAAACTCATCATGAAAGGATGGCTGGCTTATTTTTATGGGCAAACACCAAATATTAATACAGCGTAAGCAAGTTAAAGCACATATAAGAATGGTACGTTGTTCCTTATAGACCAAATGTTAGCATGCTCAGTTTAAATGTTACCAGTGGAGACCTTGACCACATTTTGATCAATTTTATGCATGTGTGGGAGGGAGAGAGAGGTCTGAATGCATGTGCATGCATCCAAGGGTGAAAGAGGGAAAAAGGCAAATTATTTTCTTCCATTACTGAAAATGGTTCTGGTAATTTCACTAAATACACTTTATGTAAGTATAACCAAATGAGTAAAATGTAAACAAAATTTTCTACACAATCCACCAATCATTCTTACAAAAACTATTTCATGCTTTGCAATTATACTATGCAAATCTTCACATCTTTCAAATATGTCGCAGCAGAATTTTTTAATGTGGCCATCCTGAGGCTGTGTAAAACGTTCATCCCAACATATAATTATTATTTATCTACTGATAAAGTCTTCTTTATACTTCTCTATTTGTGCTTTAACCATATTTGATTTTTTACTCATACTGACTACATTCTAAATCTTAAGTACTTTTACACACTGCTAAGAAACAAATTGTACTTATCTTTGCAGCATTGAAATTACTGATTAATTGGAAGGGTAAGGTTTAAGTAACCTCCTTAATTTGACTATCACCCTCTAATAAGCGAAAGGTAGAGAAACTGATTTCTGTGCTGAGGAAAGTGGCATACAGTTGCAGTCTCAGGTAGTGAGAGGCTAAGGCAGGAGGATAGCTTGAGCCCAGAGTCCAAGGCCAGCCTGGGCAACAAAGTGAGACCCCATCTCTTTAGAAAGAAAGAAAGATTTCCAAAACCCGGCAGGAAATCCCTGCTCTTCTTTCCCCTTACTAATCAACAAAACTAAATGTGACTAATCCTAAATTTACAGCTCAAACTTGCAGCAAGGTCATTCTACTGCTCCTACCCTCTCCAGTGATAAATCAGATCCTTTGGATATCTACATTATGAACTCCAAATTCAAAAGAGCTAGTTCCCTCACCAACACTTTTAACAAATCAAATAGAATGGAATGAACCACAGTCCTAAAGCTGATTCAGTAATGTACACATTTAAAGAAATAATACATCATATCCATCAGGAGAGGGATTAGTCATACACAACAAGGAATAGAAATCACAACAGCAAATGATGACAAAACCTATCTAAGCAGTGCCCAAGGGGAAAGGTACCCTGGCCTTGCAACAAGTCTTTTTTTGATGAAGAGTTAAAAATAACGGACTACTTCAACACCATTAAACCTCTGAAGGATGTAATTCATTATACACTCATTATGCAGTATACTATGATTTTCAATGTAGCTTTACACAGAGAACATGTATTTGCTAGAGGTGAGAATCCAGTGCCCTTGTTAATTACATTTATTACTGAAAATTAATAAATCAATATTTGATTTCAAATGCTACTCTCATAAGCTTAATTAAAATGAATCAATTTCTCATGCTACACTAACATTACCTAGTTTCTCAGCCTTTCTCTGGGCTACAGCAAATTACTAACTTTAAAGCCCCCCCATGAGACAACTTGAGATTCAGGCAGCTGATCAACCATAGGCAACAAAACCTCTGCACTGCTGCTCATCACCAGCAGTTATTTCTCCTTTGGTCTGCCACAAAGAAAAGATGTTGACTGAAACTGTGCAGATATGTAGAACCAGTTACTATGTACTGGGATTGGTCTTAAACCGTCTACAAAAGGGTTCTAACATAAAATGTAAATGTAATACTACCAGTATGACATAATGAAGCATAGTTTTGTAAAATCTACTATACTATAATCTTTTTAACACTGACATTTAAAGCACTAAAAAAATTATACAAACTTACTGTATCATTATACAAAATATTAATAATGACTTGTTAGAAATAATACAAATGTATGTCAGGTGTCCTAAAATTGGTATCAATTTATTGGAAAGTATTAGATCATTTATATCTACTACATTTAACCTAGTTAAAGAAACATATTTTCCAATATCAAGTTACTTAAATAGTTAAGTTTCTGAAGTTTCTTCTTAAAACAGCTTCTTTGAGTGGGGACAGGGAGGCCTTCATTCTGTTGCCCAGGCTGGAATGAGTAGCGCAATCACAGCTCCCTGCAGCCACGACCTCCTGGGACTAATCAATCTGCCTGCCTCAGTCTCTTAATTATCTGGGACTACAGGTGCACACTACCATCCCTGGCTAATTTTTGAATTTTTTGTACAAACAGGATTTTGCCATGTTGCCCAGCCTGGTCTCAAACTTCTGGGCTCAGCTTCCCAAAGTGCTGGGATTACAGGCATGAGCCGCTGCGCCCAGCCTGTTAACTTTTGGCGGGGGGTGGGAAATACACATATATACACACGCTCGCGCGGGCACAAGAGGTCTTGATGAATTATAATGTACCTACAAATTTGCTATCAGAGTAATTGGCTATTATTCTGTCACTGTATTTAAAACTCAGTAACTCCTAAGATACTGTGAAATATCTTGTATGGCCTTTTAAGATTGCTAAAATATTATAATCATATCAGGAGCTGAATGAGGGATTATTTTCTAAAAGCCATCTATAGAACACAGTAAGAATGCAGTAACTTCTGAAAGATCAAAGAGCTGCTTAATTTTACCTCCCAAGTTTGGTATGCTGAAATATATTAGGAATTCAATTCCAGGATATTTGTGGCACCACATATAAGGCAGAAATGACAAAAAGGCACTGTAGAAAAATGGGAGCGTCTAACCAAAAATACCAAATTTGGTGAGGTAAATGATTATAGGATTGATAATGTTCAGAATTCACTGTACAGGATGATAAAAGACTGAATCAATTCTAATTGTAATGTGTAAAAATGTTAAACTGTCAGGGCACAGTGGCTCACACCTGTAATCCTAGCACTTTGGAAGGCCAAGGCAGGCGGATCACTTGAGATCAAGAGTTCGAGACCAGCCCAGGCAACATGGTGAAACCCCATCTCTACTAAAAATACAAAAAATAGCCAGGGCATGGTGGCACATGCCTGTAATCTCAGCTACTTGGGAGGCTGAGGCAGAAGAATTGCTTGAACCTGGAAGGCAGAGGCTGTAGTGAGCTGAGATCGTGCTACTGCACGCCAGCCTGGGCGACAGAGTGAGACTGTGTCTAAATAAATAAATAAAGTTAAATTGACTTAATTTCAAAATAAAACTCCAATTTGATCTTATATACAGTTGCAAAAATCTAACTGTAAAAATAAAAGCTTTTTCAATGACACTATAAAATATGACAAGCAAAACAGTTACCTGAGTACTATGGTAAGACTTTTGTCTCTAATTAAAACTAAAGTTTTCATTTCTAAGCATTTTAAGTGAATATGTCTTCAATGGATTCAGTGCAAAGCACCATTCTGAAATTTCAAATAAGAACTTAGTTTCTAAACAGCAAGATATGTCCAGAACAGAAGCAAGTAAGAGCTTAAAAACAAGCATTTAAAATAAACATGGGAACAGTCACTCACAGAGGAACATGAGATGCAGGAAAGACAAGAAGAACAACACTAAAAGAAACATCCATCAAGAAAAAGACCTGGAAAAGAAACCAAAACTTAGAATTAAAGATCAAATGAGGCTTGGTAGGATGGGGGAGGGGAGAGGGTACCAACTAACTAGACACTCCAGTGAATACTAAGACAATTAATTTTAAAAATTTGAATGCAGGAATTACATAAAAGACTAAAAAGTCACTCAAGATCTCAATCAATTTACAAAGACCCAGAAATTGATCTAGCAAACTAAAGCTCAGTCAGCAATAGCCAATGGAAAGTTCCCATCAAGGACATACCCAAACACCCAAACATAACATGCTATTAAAAATACTAAGTTTTTTTCATCTGAACCAAGTGATTTAAAACATCTGTCCTAAAGTTAAAGGAGATATTAAAGATTAATCTTTGCTCTTCAAAATAATAAAGAGAAATGTATAAAAGCATTTAGATGTTAAAGAACAGTAGTGGCTAATCTAAAATACAAGGAGGAGTCAGAAATTAAAAGTTATAAAATATGTTTAACACTGACACTAATTTTGCTAAAACTTAATGAATTAAAGTTGCACTGACACAGGTAAACAGAAATTGGAATAAAAAGCTCTATTAAGCTGAAAGAAAACTAAAATCTCTGTACAATTCTGAGAGTCATATATAATTGCATTATATACTGAACTATAATTAAGAGAATACATGTAATCAAAATGAAGTTTCATAGTATAAATTGTTATCTAGCAAAATACATTTCCAAACTGGTTTCTATGTTTCCTATTCTTACAATGATCAATACTACAACATTTTAAGACAAAGTGATGTTAAATTTATTATTAAAAATTATACGATTTCCAGATGACTCTGATACATGAGCCAACAATAACTTTTCTTTGTTTCTTTCTAAAATAAATCTTGAGTGTTTTGTGATTGTGGCATTAATTCCACAGTCATTGGTAGAATAATTTTATGTTGCAGATATTAACTAAAATCTCTAACATGTTTTGGGTAAACCAACAGTCATTCTTTAACAAAATACAAAGCTAAATTGAATTCAATTGTACAGGTTTATATAAACCTAACCAGTGTGCAATGGATTTTCAAAAAATCTGTTAAGATACAGAAACTAAACCACATAATCTTCGCTTTACAAGTATTAAAATTTCCTGACACATGTTAGTATGTTCTGTTGCTGTAACTCATTTTTCTTGAAGTACATTAGCACCAAAATGCTAATTATGCTGACAAAATATTAAGGTTAAATCAGATTGTAACACCTCTTACCACAAGAAAGGCATGAAATGATTTAATATTTACCCATGTAAATAAATGTTCAGTCTAAATATTAGTGAATTAGAGAATAAGACTATACCTGTATTATTCCGTATAAAACATTTAAAAAATATTATATATTTTAATATAAAAACATTTATGCAGTAACTACAACTAATTCCATACTACAATCAAAAAGCAGTGAAAGGAGGTGGGCACAGTGGCTCACCCCTATAATCCAAACACTTTGGCAGGCCAAGGCAGACAGATCGCTTGAGGTCAGGCGTTCAAGACCAGCCTGGCCAATACAGTCTCTACTAAAAATACAAAAAAAAATTAGCCAGGTGTGGTGGTACATGCCTGTAATCCCAGCTACTTGGGAGGCTGAGGCAGAACAATCGCTTGAACCTGGGAAGTGGAGGTTGCACTGAGCTGAGATCACACCATTGAACTCCAGCCTGGGTGAGACAGGGAGACTCCATTTCAAAAAATAAAATATAATTTTTAATAAGCAGTGAAAGGGACAATGCTAAACAAGGTATAACTGGACACATTTAAACCTCAAAACAAATCCCTAAGGAAGTTATACCATCTTTCTGATAAGAAAACTCGGGCTTGATTTGCAACAAATCATAATAGAAAGTTCTCTCTTGTATCTCCCTTATTTTAAAACTTGGTCCAAATCTACAATCACAACATTATCTGCACCCCCACCCCCGCCTTAAAAACGCTAGAAAAATCACAAGCGGGAAATTACTATAAAAGGGATATAAAGGATTTTTTATGAGTACCATTTGTTGAATCTATTTGTGCTAAAAGAGAAAAAAAATTCCCTATTCGCTTCAGTGATAGTTTCTTAGAAAAGTCCATGAAAACGCGTATCTAACAAAAAAAAACTGTACAGAACAGACAATATGTTAATACCAAAGTATGACTTCATGTAGCAGGTAGTAAGTATAAAAAATAAACTTTCAAAACTTAAGGGATACAACGGACAATAATATCCCTGGGATTAACAGCTGGGATTACTATTTTAATTTTTACATTTTGTAAACAGTTTTTACATAAATAAAAAAACAAAATAATGCTTCACTTAAGGAGTACACCTTTATACTGCTTCGGCGGACACATGACAGAACCACTTTGTTCCCTGAAATATCAAGACAAGCAACAAGTTTTGAAAATTATTTCAAGTGTAATACAATATTCTCAGAGAAAAATATGCCAGTCTAAACACAGAGTGCAGAAAATACATTTTATAAAAGTAATATTCTTACTTATAATTCTGACTACATATTAAAATCCTGAACACTTTATATACTTTTCAGATGAAAGTTACTTAATCAATTTTTTTATTTTTAGAGACAGGGTCTTCCTGCTTTGCACAGGTTCTCCTAGCCTCAAGCGACCCTCCTGCCTCAGCCTCCCAAAGTGCTAGGATTGCAGGCATACACCACCATGCCTGGCCAGAAAGTCAGTAACTTAAAACTAAAGAAATAACATTTCTTTCTATGTATGAGTCCTAATGGATGGAAAAAGCTAACCTAGTTATTACCCTCCTTACATAACTTATTTGCAGCCACTTTGTCTCAAAGGTGAAAGATCTCTGCTATAAGATAACAATATAAAGCTGTTGTAAAAATATCCCAATTACTTGAGAGAAAAAAGATTATAATACTTATAGTCTTCATAACTTTGAATAAAAATTGGACCACTAACAATGTTAAATACATATTATAGTAATAAATACAATTAATTATAAGTACAATAAAGCTACCTACATTTTACATATAAGTCTAATTGAGTTTACAGAATCATAAATTAGTAATATAAGTAGCTACCATTTGTTAAGCCTTTGTGCTAAGCATGTTATCAATGTCTCCTTTAATCCTCAGCAACACTATTATGTAAGTTCTATTATATTTATTGTAAAATAAAAACAAGATCACTGAGAGAAAGGTTAAATAACCTTCTCCACTCCACCAGCAGAATGAGGGGCAGAACTGAGAATCAAAGCCAGGACTGACTTCAAAGCCTCATTTTTGTTGTAATTCCAACCGATTATCTTATCTTTAACAAATTGGCACTGCCTCTAGAGCAGGGAGTGCTCCAACTGAATGGCCAAAACAGTCTAGGAATGTAGCAGAAATAAGTAAAGGTGGCTATATAAAAGACAACAGACTGGTGAAGCCTGTGGCAATCTAGAGAAAACTCTTATCTAAAGGACGAAGCTCCTGCTCATATGGATGTGGGTGTTGCCATGTGAGACTACAGACCCCGTACCAGTCATGCCAGATAGATTTTAAAGAAGCTAGAAATCCAGGCTGTTTATGTGATAAGCTCTTATTTTTAAATGGTGATGAATAAGATAAAAATTTAAGTTACAATGGATGCCTAATCAAACATAATCTGGGGCCACATTTAGATTGGCACGATGAATGACTCCATAAGCATGCTACCTTACCATCTTCTTCCTGCCTGTTCATAAATGTTAGTGTAATGTAATGTACACTTAACATTTATGAACAGGCAGGAAGAAGAAAAAGAAACTTTCCTACAAGCAGGCAGGAGAAAGAGAAACTTGCCTACAAACAGACAAGAGGAAGAGAAAGAAAGAAACTTCCCTACAAACATCCTTAAAACCTATCCAATAACCAGTCTCCTTTCATATCTTTCTAGTCCCCATGCTCTCCCCATCACAGGGCTTTTACTCCTGCTTTTTGTTTACCGCTCCTACAATGTGTCTTCCTGTCATCACCAAGTTAAATCCTACGTAAAGTTCTGATCTTCTTCAAGCATTACCTCCTCAATGAAGTACTCTGACTCCTGCAATAAATCCCCCAATTTTAGGCTCCTGTTGCACAATGTACCTGTAACACTTGGCACAGTCACAATGTTATAGTGTGACTAATGTGTCCCTCCCCAACCAGATCATAAAGTCCGTAAGAATATGTCTGGTTTTGTTCATCATTGATGTCCCAACACCCAGCACAGTGCAAGGCACACAGCATGCACTCAACAAATATTTGCTAAAGGAAAGAGGAAGAAAAGGAATTAGAGTCCTAAGAAGACAGCCTTAAAAAATTCTCCATTATCTGCTGGGCTGAACTCTACACTCAACTCCAGAACATTACGGCTACTATAGCACTCCCATAACACTTCAAGCAGAGATGAACGCCACATTAATCAACCAAATGAGAATGAAGGAAGGCTTTATAAAACAGTGGTGGGATGGGGAGGGTACTAATGTATGTGTTCCTGCTTTTAGAATATAACCTGGTTTACAGACTGAGATTCTAGATCTCCTGAGAGTTGATGGTGATATTATTACACCTCTAACAAATTCTATGTAAATCTACATAAGTTTACTTACTATCAGAAAAATCGTTGCCCAAAGCATGCTTATTGTAAGAACTATGATGACTACTGGAATAAATTCAAGTAAAGATCTTAAAGGAAAGCTTTTAATCTCTATAATTGCAGGGTGTGAGATGCTTCTTCAAAAAGGAGGACAGTAAGGTAATCAAGAGTCCATGACATCTACTAAAAACATACAGAGGTTAGAGTTTGTAACCCTTCCAATTGAACCTAACAGGCCAGACAGGTTAAAATGAAGTGGTTCTCAATGCAACTACCAAATCCTTACTAACAAGAGTGAACTGTGATCATCGTCTTCTAACTCTTTCTCCAATGGAACCATAAATAGGTTCCTTGCTACAGCTAACAAACACAGGTCTTCATCATCATCTCTTATTTACCATATAATAAAAAAACTTTGTCAAGTGACATTTTCTTTGTCTAATACGACCCTTTCACAAAACGAACCCATGAAAATATATTGTTACTTCCGCCACTGAACGGTTTGTACGTCCAACATATAATTCTATGCAACACTAGTTCTTTCCAAGAATCTTCTCTAGATGTTAGGGTAGGGGTAAACTTGGGAGGTTAAATAAGCTTGGGAAAGACTGCAAATTCCTCAAATTTAGATACTCGTTCATTAAAAACAATGAGATTCCTGAACCACAAAATCTGTTTAATCTAGCGGTTTTTTCTGTTTGTTCTGTTTTGTTTTGAGACAGAGTCTTGCTCTGTCACCCAGACTAGAGTGCTGTGGCACAATCTTGACTCACTGCAGCCTCCTGGGTTCAAGTGATTCTCCTGCCTCGGCCTCCTGAGTAGCTGGGATTACAGGCATGCACCACCATGCCCTGGCTAATTTTTGTATTTTTAGAAGATGAGGTTTTGCCATGTTGACCAAGTTGGTCTTGAACTTCTGCCTTGGCCTTCGATAGTACTGAGATTATGGGCCTGAGTTGCTGCACATGACCTAACCTAGTGTTTCTTAAACATTATAGAACCCAAGTAACAAATTTGGGGGAAAGGTTCCAAACTTGGAAAAGTTCTCTAGCAAATCAACAATTTCATGGCTTGGGCCTCTGGAACCTTTACTATGAAACATATTTCCTGATCTAAGTCAAAAATTAACCAGAAACCCAACTATACAAACTTGTAACTTTAAAGATACCTAGGTTTCTGTTGCTATAATAATTCTGAATAATTCTTATTTTCATAAAATATTACGAAAGCACCCTCCCGGGGCCTTTACTTCTATAAAAATTTTCACTAACTCATGATTCTTTTTTTTTTTTGAGACGGAGTTTCGCTCTTGTTACCCAGGCTGGAGTGCAATGGCGCGATCTCGGCTCACCGCAACCTCCGTCTCCTGGGTTCAAGCAATTCTCCTGCCTCAGCCTCCTGAGTAGCTGGGACTACAGGCGTGCGCCACCATGCCCAGCTAATTTTTGTATTTTTAGTAGAGACGGGGTTTCACCATGTTGACCAGGATGGTCTTGATCTCTTGACCTCGTGATCCACCCATCTCGGCCTCCCAAAGTGCTGGGATTATAGGCGTGAGCCACCGCGCCCGGCCTAACTCATGATTCTTATGAAACGTGATTAACAAAAGGTACATCCTTCTCTACAATATATATAGGAAATAATCTATTGGTATAAAAGTATTCTGGCCATCTGCATAATTTAGTCTTGCATATAACATAAATCTGATGTTTAACTTAAAAGATACATAGATTGATCCCAATTTTATTAACTATGTCTATCAACCAGGCATATCAAAACCTTGGAGAACAATGACAGCAAAAATGAACTATACATAAATTACAAAGGAAGTTGCATCTGGGCAGCAAAGCCTTCTAACATATATTTAACATCTTTGTATGTCTGGGTGGATATGATAAAGGAGAAACTTTCCTGACTGGAGAATAAGGTAGAAAGTTGGTGCAACTCACAAGCTCACAAATAGGTAATAAGTACAAAGCAGAAAAGAGGAGAAAAGAATATTAAATTGGAAATGTAAGTCTGAGATACAACTAAAAAATAATTATCTGAGAACTTCAAAGCTTTCAAGTTCAAACTTCTCTATGTATTCATTCTAACAACTGCATAAATCAGATCACAAGCAACAAAGATTCAAACTTGGTATTAATATAATAAAACTATCAGCAATTTAACCATTTTTAGTCTTTCTGTTGCATTCCTACACAATGCTTTTTTCATGATTATTCTTTAAAATCACACAGCATAAATTTGCTTAAATTCACCTCTCTTTTAAGTATATTTAGGAACAGTCTCTGATGATGCAGAATCACATCATTCTCATACTGATCAATTAAGAAGCTATCCTTAAATTTTAGAAAAACTGCTCTGTACAAAGACCACTGTGAAAACCATCACAGATTTTACTATTTGCAAAGAAGCTCAGATAACAAAACCATTTCATGGCATTTCAGAGCTATAGGGATGGATGAGAAAAGTTAAAAAAAAAAACAACAATAACAAAAAACTTACTTTGATGACTCCCCAAGGATAACGATTTCATTCCATAACTAATTCACTTAGGGAATGATCAGCAGGCAAGTTCTGTCGTACTTAGGGCATTCCCTAAGTAGGCAAGTTCTGTTCCCAAGATGTCAATAACCAAATCACATAAGAATTTAAACTAAATCTTCAGCCATGAATCATACATTGAAGTCAGGAAGAACCAGGCAGATCACATAAGCGGGGTGTATCTAATCCCACATGACTTTTCCCTAATTCTCTAAACTCCAGCAACACTGGCCTCCTTGCTGTTGCCCTATGGACCTCAGTTTTTATCCCGCTCTGATGGAGAAGAATGCTATTCCAAGTCTCTGCTCAACTGTTGCCTCCTCAGAGAAGTATCTCTGACTTCTCTCTCTAAAGAAGCCTCATCTGTCTTATTTACAGCTGTATGACCAGCAACAACAGGATCTGACACAAATGCTCAATAAATACTTGCTGAATGAATTCATTAGTCCACATGTAATTTAACAATATAAAATCAAATCTAATGACAATTTAAAAACAAGTATATTAACAAAATATCTAATATCCAATCCCAATTTGAAGTCCAGAAAAAAACAAACTTAAAATCAGATCTCTGTACTTATTTGCTTTTGGAAATGAGTGAGTAAAACTTGAAAAATTCCACGTGGGTATAAAGATGTATGTTAGTTCTGAAAAATCACAGCGAATATATAATGATTCCATGTCATATAGAGTCCATAAAAGATTGGATGATTCACAAGCAAAGACAGAAGTTTGGTATTAGCATCTTAAGTATATACTCTAACACATATGCATAGTATTTTAAAAGTATAATGATCTAGAATATAAATACAAGTATAAAAGGTATAATGATCTAGAATATAAATATGAAAAATGAAGTTAAGAGAATTCCTGTTCTACATTACCAAGTCCAATCACTGACTAAATATAAATTTGAAGTGTTAAATATGGCTTTGTCAGAATATATAGAAGTAACCATTTTTTGGAGGTTAAAAAATAAAGTTTGCTGAACATGTACCAAAGGCTTATATTCACAAACACCTAAGTATTGAGTTCTACCAATTACATACTTTGTAAGCATTATAATCACTATAGTCCATCTCTTTAAAGAGCATAAGATATTACATTTTTAACAACAAATGATATTATGGCAAAAAGCTCTCTCAAACTGACCTCACAACTCAAAAGTTTTAAATACTGACCAGGTGCATTGCCCTACTTGCAAGTTAATCAAATCAGCTTTTATTTACACATATTCAACTTAGTTTGAAGGAAAAGAAAAATGAAACAGGATACCTATGAATCAAATAATACACCACACAGATCAATCAGAACAAATGATCAATAAAGAAAAATGTTTGAAATAAAAAATATGAGAGAATAAAGATTTTCTTCAACATGTGCTACTCACATAAAATCCCTGGAACAAAAGGGTATCTACAGCCAAATTAACTTACCGTTACAGATTTCAGTGTCATACCATGGTAGGTTCCCATAGTGTCAATTTTGAAGCCTTCCGTTTCTATGAAAAAAAAAAAAAAAAAAAAAAAAAGAGGTTTGCTGTTAAGATTTTATAGATCATGCATCTTATGGTCTATAACAAATCTAAAGTAATAATCTACACTGTATCTGATGGTTCAATAGTATAACAAAGCCTTCAATCTACTATGTAAAATTAAATTACATACTTGTAAAGACAAAAACTTTAAAAAGGATGCTAGGCTCAAAAGTACTAATATATTAAATAGAGACCAACAAGCCTACTGTGTAGAAGCTGATTAAGACTATCTCTGAATTTAGATTGAATACTTTATAACACCAAATTACTTACTAATACTCAGATAGTACCACTAAAAGCCCCTAATATCATGAGAAGACCCAGTTATAAAAAGCAGTGTTCCAAAGTTTCAATCGTAAGGCATATGCTTATTTTTATATACATATATATATGTTTTTTTTTTTCTTTTGAGACAGAGTCTCACTCTGTCACCTAGGCTGGAGTACAGTGACACAATCTCAGCTCATTGCAACCTGTACTCCCAACCCCCTCCCCAGGATCACACAATCCTCCCACCTCAGCCTCCCGAGCAGCTAGGACCACTGGCATGCACCACCACACCCAGCTATTTTTTTGTACTTTTAGTAGAGATGGGATCTTGCCTTGTTGCTCAGGCTGGTCACAAAGTACTGAGCTCAAGCAATCATCCTGCCTCTACCTCCCAAAGTGCTGGAATTACAGGCATGAGGCACAGCAACCAACCATATTACATAGTCTATAGAAAGCTATGTTGTAAATAATGATTGGAGTGACAGGACAGAATCCCAATATGCCTTTCTGTAAAGGGTCACATAGTAAATGATTTATATATTGCAGGCCTTAAAATCTCTGTCACAACTACTTAATTCTGTAGTTGCAGTGCAAAAGCAGAATAAACAATATATGTGATAAACTGGGGGCAGCCCAATTTGCCCCATGGAGGTTCGTATTGAGTTTCAGGGCTGTAATTTACCAACCTCTGCTTTATATAATTCAATCCCCACGAAAACATTGAAGTGTAAAGGAAAGAATGGACTATTGCCTTTTTATGGCACATATCTGGTGCATGCCTTTATCAACTAAATGAAGTCAGCACACAAAATTCATTGCATCAAGGCAACATACGCTTTCAAAAAAATTTAAAGGAAGACTTCAGATTATGCTTTAAAATACCAATAACTTCCAGTTGTTTCTAAACCTCTTATTTTCATGTATCAAGTCATAATGAATGAAGATCCCAAGAGGAAGTGACCCTGACATTAGTTTCACCGCACAACTGCAGAAATGGTTTGTTATTGCATTAGCCAGAATACCACGTGGGCTATCACAAAATAAGTCCTCCCATCATTGCTCAAAATCTGTATCCAAGTTCTCAATGTACACATTTATAACTTCAGAAACATGACTTTACAGAATCTCCAGTTAACAACAAAAGCAGTATGAATAACAGCAAATATTTATAGATAATTTACTTACATATAAGATACTATTCTGAGAACGTGGTATTTATTAACCAGTCCAATACTCATAATAACCAGAAGAAATAGGTACCATAATAGTATTTTAATTATACACAGGAGAAAACTAAGACAGAATGCAGTTAAAGTAACATTAAAATTCACACAAAAAGTTACTGCAACATAAGCTGTCTGGATCCAGAATCCATGCTATTAATCAGGGACTGGCCAATTTTTTCTGTAAAGGGCCAGATAATATTTTTAGGCTGTGTAGGCTGAAAATTCAATACCGAAGTCACAAAGCCAAAGAAGCCATATATAAAATGCATAAATGAATGGGTGTGGCTGTGTCCCAACAAACTGTTATTTACAAAAAATTGTAGTGGGTACAATCTGGCCTGCAGACATTACGGTGCCAACCCTCACCCTTAAGCATCAGGCCATACTGCCTCTCAAGTTCAACACAACCACACTAAGGGGAAGATAAGAATTAAGCAACTTGCCTTCTTTTCCTTTGAATCTTTCCTGATCATATCTGTTATAGGCAGCTGGGATAGGCTGTTTGGTACGCAAAGTGGGATCCTGTTAAAAAAATTTTTTTAAATTATAAGTAACATGTTAATATTTTTAAATATCATTTATTTAATGTGCTGGAGTATAGCAGTGTGATCACGGATCACTGCAGCCAAGACCTCCTAGGCCCAAGTGACCTTCCCACCTCAGCCTTCCAAGTAGCTGGGACCACAAGCATGTACCACCACACTCGGTTAACTTTTTTTAATTTTTTTTTTTTTTAAGACACTCTGACCCATCAGATGATTTTGTCTCAGACTCTGACCAAAGTATGCTAAGAATTACTGCTACAGTTAAGAAGTACTACCTAAGTAAGTAACTTTTAATATTGGGGAGGGCTTTCACATCTTTCAGAAACTCTGAAGCAGCAAAGAGTTTAAAATCCACTGATTTTAAAATGTGAAGATATCTTCAACATTACTACACTGCAATATAAGTGGCAACTTCATTAAAATTACTGTAAAGCAGTAAAGCATTCTTACCACAGGTGCTGTATTTGGGGCTGGTCGCTGTTCAGGTGCACGCCCTTCTTCTCTGGCTTTTACAGATTGAAGTATTGCAAAAATGTTCTTGGAAAAATTCTAAAATATAAATGAATTTTAATTAAGCCCACCTTAAATACACAATAGTAAAGTTACTTGATAAATAATTTAAGACTCAGTTATCTTACTCTCAATTCTTCTTTACTATATATATCACAAAGTATCATTATTATACACATATGTAAAAACCACTACTGATACATTGATCCAGAGACTATTATAAATCCCATGGTATTCATTTCGTTATTTTCATTTTACTTAAACTGCTACAAATGTATTCATATTCTACATCTATTCAAATATATAATCAGAAAACAAGTTAACATAAATAAAATTAAAATATAACACATTTGTCTAAAGACGCTTCTAGTTGAGAAAAAAAAAATCAACTACTACATCCTCCTCTCTGTTAAATAAACTTCAGTGCTAACTTCAGACTGTTACACATTACATAATTCTGAGATACTATTAGTAGTCAATGTACACTTTTCAAAGATTTATAAGTGGAGAGTACAAGTAAAAATGCTCTTCAGCTTACGATGCAATTACATGCTAATCAAAAGTCAACACAGCTAACTAATCTGACTACTCTTTCCTTCATGAAATATTCGTCCTTCATGCTATGGATTGAATATCTCCTCTAAAACTCGTGTTGAAATTTTATTCATTATAACACTATGAGGAGATGGAGCCTATAGGAGGTGATTAGGTAGGTCATAAGGGCTCCATCCTTACTAATGGATTAATGTTGTTATTCCAGAAGTGGGCACGGGTTCCTGATACAGTAAGTTTGGCCCCATTTCTCTCTGTGGCTTGTTTGCTTGCTTGATTGCTTCTGCCTTCTGCCATGAAATGACCCTACCCAGAAGCCACTGCTATGTTCTTGGACTTCCCAACCTAGAGCAAGTGTGAGAAATAAATTTCTTGTCTTCATAAATTACCCAGTCTGTGATATCCACGGCAGCAGAACAGAGACACTTGGCCTCTGAGACGCCACTGTCTCTTCGTTTCATCCCTAATGTCTAACAGTTCCTTTGGTGCTCTTCTTATGCTACCTATCAGTCACTTAACATTTGAAGGAATATGTAGTAAGAATCTACTCTAAATCAAACACCTTGCTTGGCACTTGGGTGCAATGATAATGAAAAAAGACGGTAGCTGCCCTCATGAACCTCAAATACAACATAATTTCTCTTCTTCAAACAAAGCATTCTGTTCGCTTGGATTGGACCACTCTTCCCACCTTACCCATTTCACTTCCCTCACTGGTTTTTATTCTTTAGGTAACACTCCTCTTTACTCTCACCTAAGTTAACTGTCCTTGCTGGGTGTCTGCCCTATAAGGTTCCTAATAATTACCACTTTTTAATTTTGACTTCTGCTGAAGAATATAACTTCTGTGACAGCTAGGACCAATGCACCTCCAGTCAGTGACTAGCACTTGTTTGGTTTGTAGATGTTAAATAAATACGATAGGAATAAATATGTATATAAAATGAGAGGCAGCTTGAAAGATAACTATCACTATACTAGTTGCAGTGCTAACCAGTTCCTATAATCCTCTGGAGCAGCAAATGTAAGGACCCCTTTGCACTCTTACGAAGGACCCCAAAGAGCTTTAAGTTTGTGTGAGTTAAAATATCTATTGAATTTAACATTAAAACTGAAAAAAAATTAAAGATCACTTTTCAAAATGCATAAAAGTAATGACAAGAAAGAGTGGCAGGTTTTAAATTTTTGCAAATTTCCTTAATCTCTGGCATAATAGAAGAGAGCTATATTCTCAGATCGGCTTCTACATTCAACATTTATTGTGCTATCTTATCTGGTCAAAGGATACAGAGAAAAATCTATCCTCACACAAACATTTGGAAAAGGGAAGACTATTCTAATAGTTTTTCAGATAACTATGGATAGTTTTCTTTGATATCATACCAAAAGGCAATAAATGGTTCTTTTTTTTTTTAAATTGCATTTTAGGTTTTGGGGTACATGTGAAGAACATGCAAGATTGTTGCATAGGTACACACATGGCAGTGTGATTTGCTGCCTTCCTCCCCATCACCTATATCTGGCATTTCTCCCCATGCTAACTCTCCCCAACTCCCCACCCCCCACTGTCCCTCCCCTATTTCCCCCCAAAAGACCCCAATGTGTAGTGTTCCCCTCCCTGTGACCATGTGTTCTCACTGTTCAACACCTGCCTATGAGTGAGAACATGCCGTGTTTGAGTTTCTGTTCTTGTGTCAGTTTGCTGAGAATGATGGTTTCCAGGTTCATCCATGTTCCTACAAAGGACACAAACTCATCGTTTTTGATAACTGGATAATATTCCATGGTGTATATGTGCCACATTTTCCCTGTCCAGTCTATCATCGATGGGCATCTGGGTTGGTTCCAGATCTTAAACATAAGACCTAACACCATAAAAACCCTAAAAGAAAATCTAGGCAAAACCATTCAGGACATAGGCGTAGGCAAGGACTTCATGACCAAAATACCAAAAGCACTGGCAACAAAAGCCAAACTAGACAAATGGGACCTAATCAAACTCCACAGCTTCTGCAGGGCAAAAGAAACAGTCATTAGAGTGAATTGGCAACCAACAGAATGGGAAAAAATTTTTGCAGTTTACCCATCTGACAAAGGGCTGATATCCAGAATTTACAAAGAACTAAAACAGATTTACAAGAAAAAAACAAGCCCATTCAAAAGTGGGTGAAGGATATGAACAGACACTTTACAAAAAAGACATACATGAGGCCAACAAACATGAAAAAATGCTCATCATCTCTGGTCATCAGAGAAATGCAAATCAAAACTACAGTGAGATACCATCTCATGCCAGTTAGAATGGCGATCATTAAAAAATCTGGAAACAACAGATGCTGGAGAGGATGCGGAGAAATAGGAACACTTTTACAATAAATGGTTCTTGAAGGTTAATGAAATGTGGAAACCACATCCATAAACTTTTTGTACAGGTACTTTAAAATCCATCAGCCTCTCTTGTACTTTAAATGAACTTTTTACCCATGCATGATTTTCTGACAACATTCACTGGTTACCTGGAAAGTATCAATCACTGAATCATGCACATTTTCCAAATAGTAACATAATTAATTAAAGAAAATCAACAAATTACACTTGTTAAAAGACTCACTAGAAGACTTTAAGAATTAGAAAACTGCTTGTTTCTTTACTTATGGGGGTGGGGGGAGAATTAGAAAACTGTTAAGGTGACAACAGCATAAAGAAACTTCCCAAATTCTAATTTTCTCATGAACGTATTTTTTTATCATTGGCAAAAAATACTATCAGTTGCTTTCTGTGAAGGAACAAATTTATTTCCTTCATTTAAAAAAAAAAAGACTACCAAATACCCAAGTCTGAATAACAGTTACTAAAATTAAAAATGTTGATTCAGCTCCTACCTCATACAACGGCACAAGTCTCTTGATGAGAGTAACCAACAGGTTTGCAGAAGTGCTTTCTACATTTCAATTTCATCACACAAAATATTAAAAAGACATACTTGAGGGTCAAGAGTTAACAAAACTCATAAATTTTAAAAACATCATCAAGGACATTATTAGTGAATAAAGAACATAATGGTTACTAGCAAAGTGCCACTGCCTTGATTCACACCATGGCCAGCAGTTTTACCAACCCTTGATTTTGCACCATCACTACAAAGGTCAATACAGTCAAAAATGCACATAACATCTTTGTCTTATTATAAAAATAGTTGAAAATATATGAAAAGCAAACCTTACATTAAAAATAAAGAATTAGCATTATCATAAATCTATTATCATCTTCCTTCTAGTGATCTCCTTTTTTTTTTTATCAATTTTTCAACATTGAACATATACTAATTCATACAAGTTTATACACATTTGTCTTCAGATCGTATAGATCTTTCACCTTTTACTAACTGATGTAAGTTTAAAAGTATGTTTTCTAAATGGCATTATAAAACCAAGTCACTTTATTTGGGGTCCTTGCAAAAATAATAACATGGTTTATACTTCTCACGAAATCATTTTCTTTTGTGGAACAAAGTCTCACTCTGTCATCCAGGCTGAAGTACAATGGCATGATCTTAGCTCATTGCAACCTCCACCTCCAAGATTCAAGCAACTCTCCTGCCTTAGCCTCCCAGGTAGCTGGGATTACAACAAGCATGTGCCACCATGCCCAGCTAATTTTTTTATTTTTAGTAAGAGGTGGGGTTTCAACATGTTGGCCAGGTTGGACTCGAACTCCCGACCTCAGTTGATCCACCCGCCTTGGTTTCCCAGTGTTGGGATTACAGGCGTGAGCCCCTGCAACCGGCCTCTCATGAAATCTTGAACCTGACTTTTGTTTCTGAAACTCAAAAAATAAGAAAGCTCTGATAACTGGTAATAATGAAGGCCTATCTAAAATCCACAGGCCTTTAACTACCTGAGGGTATTTTGCTATTCTCACCTGTCTAAGAGTATTTCTAGAGTTTATCAGATAGAAAGACTATCAGTCAAAACATTTTTTATCTTTTTTAATGCTAATAATACTCATTTAGGCAAGCCTAGCTACAAAACAATTCTTTATTAACTTATTTTTTAAAAGACATAGTTGTGTCAACAATATTAAATCAGTAAGTTTAGAAATGATGGTAAGATCCTGCCACCTAGAGCTCAAAGAAAATTGTTCACCTCAGTTACTTGAAAATGCAGTGTTTGGTCTAAAAGTTAGGTAGGGTGTATCACCTATTTTTATTCTTCTACTGTGAGTTTCAGATTTTTTGATAACTTTAATGAAAACTGGTAGATCAACATAAGTCACAATATTACTCAAGTATTAGCCATGTTAAAGAGTGAAAATCAGTATCAACAAATCATTTATTGTAACTAGCGAAAATGGAAGTTTACTCAGATCCTCAGATTTCTCTATAATGCTAAGCTCTGGAGAATGATTCTTAATCTCAACCTTAGGTACTTTGTAAAACAGGTCAAAGTACAAAAGAAAAAGAAATAATTCTTTTCTTCATATGCTCTTTTCATAGTTTTATTTCTATTAAAATGGCAATATAAATTTAAGGCTAAAATCCCAAAATTCTACAACCAAAACCAGTTTGCCTAAAACAAGGTTAAACTTCGTTTCACTAGTAACCTTGCACACTTAAACACTGTTACTAGATCATCATTATTAACTGTGCATCAGTGGAGAAAACAGTTAAGAGAAAATTGAGGCATAGAAGAGGAAAAGAAAAATGTACATAAATCAGGATAAATGCATCCTCTTTTTGGGGACCCATGAAATACTAGACATACAGTATTTCAGATTTTTATCTTTTAAAATTTAAAGTGCATGTCTCCTTTGACCAACAATTTGTTTCTAAGAATTAATCCTTTGGCTATATCCACATAAATACACAAAGGTCTGTGTATGAGAATGTTTTCTAATGCATTATTCGTAATAGAGAAAAGGAAGTGAGGGAAAGAAGAAGGGAGGGAAACAGGAGGAGAAAGAGAGGAAGGTGGAGGGAGGCAGAGAGAGAAAAGGAAGGACAGAGAAAAATGGAAAAAAATCCCACAATCTTTGAAGCAAAAACAAAAGAAAACAATTTCCACTAATAGGGAGCTAGTGAAAAAACTGCAATACTCACACAACAAAATAAAAAGTGTAAAATGTACTCAATAAATGTTTGCTACAGATTTCCATAAGTTCTTTACCACATGGGGAAAAATATAATAATGGCATTAATAAACTTGCCATCAATATTCCCTGTGTATCAGGTTTAAGCAAAAATGACTCAACAGGAAAACTAGGCCATTCTCTGATTTACAAATGATGTACGAAGGAGCTTGCATTTTGATTCCTACCTTTTCATCAGCATCTCTGATGAATAACCACCATATTCAAGAATGAAATGGTAAAAATAGCCGTCTGGAAATCTACATTATTACTGAACTCTCAGAGAGACAACACTTGAAACTTCACCTAAAAGCAAATTTTAACCAATTCTGTAACCAATCACAAATTACACACACACACACTCTCTCTCTCTCTACACCCCCCTCTCTCTCACACACACACTCTCTCTCTCTACACCCCCC